TGTACGCGAAGCCATTAAATCATTGACTCTAAAACTGCGATATATGAGAACAGAGAATATGATAGCCGACGTACAGTGGACACTCCCTTATCCGAACATTTATTTTTACAATATCTTCGAATCCAGGCGTTCCTTTATTTAATCATTGTATTATTTAAATACATTATCGCCTAGTAGCGAACTTGAATGAAATTTTTCGATAATAGAATGTTTTGGTATCATGATATGAGCCGTTTATTTTGAAAGTGGCGTAAGTCACTTTACCGTAATGAAAAGTGGTGATTTTTTAATGTTTATACGAAATTATTTATACTGAGAAAGATATCAGTATCCTGAGATAACAAATACAAGTAAATCTTCTCGAAAGTTAGCATCCATATTTTTAAACGTGTTAAAACGCAAACCCTTAAATGTATCGACTTCAAAACAAAGTGACTTATGCCACTTTCAAAATAAACGGCCCATATTACAACAATAAACCTTCAGATAAGAGAGTCTCTACTGTGTTAACAAAATCCTTAAGTGTAGGGAAACATATCAAATTTGTAAAAGAGTTACGCTTAAATTGAAAGATATCGCGAATAAGAGGGTGTGTTGAAACGAGAATAAATACTCACGTGTATATTACATATGCCTAATTTTACGTAAATACTCGCGACATCTGTACTGCGTCTTACCGTGTTCTGTTCCGCCTTGCGTGTCGTATCTAATCGCGTGTGTGAAATACACGAGTTGATTAATCTAACGGAAAGATTCGTTTAATCACGCCACAATTATCCGGAAAATCCAACAAGCATCACAAACAAACGACCAGGAAACCGAAAGTTGTTGCGTGCAGCTGCTAAACTAGCAAGAATAACCTTGACATAACCTAATGCGGACAATAGACAAATATGATATAAACATTCTAAATCACAATTTATCATCACACCGGGACATCAGAAGCAATATTTCGAGCAACTCAGAAAGCATACACAAACCATCTATAGAAATAAGAGCAACAGACTATCATCTACTAGAACAGACTGGGAAAAATATAAGAATCTGATGGAGCAATACATGGAAGAAGTAATATACTCCACCACATACGGATCCGGTATATCCAAATGCGACCAATATGCAAAGAGGATGAGAATGATCATAAGGGAAGGCACCCCCAGAAAAAAAACAGTCAACTGCCAGTCGCATAGAAAACCCGTACCACGGTGGGACTAAGATTGCGATAAGACTCTAAGGATGGCCCAGGTAGTCTTGACATTCCAAAACAGCTCACATGGAGCCTCTTACATCCCTCTGAACTGCTTGAAAGGAATCCATAGAAGCAACAATTTTTCGTGCCTATCGACATCCTGCCTCGTCACATCATATCAAGTGTTATGTGACTTCAACATGAGTCGAGTATTACAAAAATGCCCGGCCTACTGAATTTGGAATTCAATGAATACAGAAGAAAAAGTTACAATAAGAGTTAAAAAAAAAACAAGAAATTGATGAAATTGACTGTAAAAAATTAGACGGAAGAAGGACGAGCGCGAGGGTAACAACCACTGAGGTGAAGGCAAGAGGGGGGGAAGAGAGCGGCACGCTGGAAAAATACGTATCGGTGTCCAAACACGGTATAGCGGCGACATCTGACGTGGACACCGATGAAACAGAAGCGAGTCGGTAGGAGATATGGAGGGAACCCTACATGGATTGCTAGAAAAATATACAGAAGAACTGGAGAAATGGAGACAGAGGAGATGAGGCAGAGGGAAGGAATGCATGGGGAGAAGAAAGAAGAAAGTGGATTGAAGAAAGGGGGAAGAAAAGAAGTGGAGAATCCTAACCATTTGTAGACAAAATATGTAAATCCGATATGTCTATAAAAAAAGACCGAAACTAAGTGTGGCTGTGTGTGTGTNTCGAAAGTTAGCATCCATATTTTTAAACGTGTTAAAACGCAAACCCTTAAATGTATCGACTTCAAAACAAAGTGACTTATGCCACTTTCAAAATAAACGGCCCATATTACAACAATAAACCTTCAGATAAGAGAGTCTCTACTGTGTTAACAAAATCCTTAAGTGTAGGGAAACATATCAAATTTGTAAAAGAGTTACGCTTAAATTGAAAGATATCGCGAATAAGAGGGTGTGTTGAAACGAGAATAAATACTCACGTGTATATTACATATGCCTAATTTTACGTAAATACTCGCGACATCTGTACTGCGTCTTACCGTGTTCTGTTCCGCCTTGCGTGTCGTATCTAATCGCGTGTGTGAAATACACGAGTTGATTAATCTAACGGAAAGATTCGTTTAATCACGCCACAATTATCCGGAAAATCCAACAAGCATCACAAACAAACGACCAGGAAACCGAAAGTTGTTGCGTGCAGCTGCTAAACTAGCAAGAATAACCTTGACATAACCTAATGCGGACAATAGACAAATATGATATAAACATTCTAAATCACAATTTATCATCACACCGGGACATCAGAAGCAATATTTCGAGCAACTCAGAAAGCATACACAAACCATCTATAGAAATAAGAGCAACAGACTATCATCTACTAGAACAGACTGGGAAAAATATAAGAATCTGATGGAGCAATACATGGAAGAAGTAATATACTCCACCACATACGGATCCGGTATATCCAAATGCGACCAATATGCAAAGAGGATGAGAATGATCATAAGGGAAGGCACCCCCAGAAAAAAAACAGTCAACTGCCAGTCGCATAGAAAACCCGTACCACGGTGGGACTAAGATTGCGATAAGACTCTAAGGATGGCCCAGGTAGTCTTGACATTCCAAAACAGCTCACATGGAGCCTCTTACATCCCTCTGAACTGCTTGAAAGGAATCCATAGAAGCAACAATTTTTCGTGCCTATCGACATCCTGCCTCGTCACATCATATCAAGTGTTATGTGACTTCAACATGAGTCGAGTATTACAAAAATGCCCGGCCTACTGAATTTGGAATTCAATGAATACAGAAGAAAAAGTTACAATAAGAGTTAAAAAAAAAACAAGAAATTGATGAAATTGACTGTAAAAAATTAGACGGAAGAAGGACGAGCGCGAGGGTAACAACCACTGAGGTGAAGGCAAGAGGGGGGGAAGAGAGCGGCACGCTGGAAAAATACGTATCGGTGTCCAAACACGGTATAGCGGCGACATCTGACGTGGACACCGATGAAACAGAAGCGAGTCGGTAGGAGATATGGAGGGAACCCTACATGGATTGCTAGAAAAATATACAGAAGAACTGGAGAAATGGAGACAGAGGAGATGAGGCAGAGGGAAGGAATGCATGGGGAGAAGAAAGAAGAAAGTGGATTGAAGAAAGGGGGAAGAAAAGAAGTGGAGAATCCTAACCATTTGTAGACAAAATATGTAAATCCGATATGTCTATAAAAAAAGACCGAAACTAAGTGTGGCTGTGTGTGTGTCAACTACGGTAATAACTTCTCAAATTGGTATGTTGGGATGATGAAGCCCGAAAATCTCGGGTACCTCCTTCACTGTTTGATTTGCTACATGACGATACCATTAAATGATAATGAGGAGCAAGCGACGAAGGTGATCTTTTCCCATCCTTCAGTGAATCAAGACTGTTCTCTAGATACGAGAAAGCTAGTTAACGAATCATCGGATGATTCACATAGAGCATGATAAATATCCAAAACTGGATGAGGAAAAGAGCTATCAAAGTAGAAAATTAGGGAAAACCCCATCCCTATGCTACCAGGAAGATATCTGTGGACTAAACCAATAATAGAAGAGCAAGAAAACGAAATAAAGAAAAATGAAAGGTGCATAAGACAAAATATAGAAAGAGTACACAGAGAGGAGAAAAGAAGAAGAAAACACGAAAATGCATGGTTTCCAAGGGAAGAGAATAACTAGAAAATAGCGCATCAGAAAAGTTGAGTTATACATCTTAACAAAATGGTCACAATGAAAGAGAAAATAGAACAATAGTCGCAGCAATCGGAAGCATAACACAATCTTAAAACGCCTTGGAAAAGGCTTATGATAAATCGAAGCGAGAAAAGCTCCAAGGCTAAAACCCCATCTGAGTCATGGTATGGAAAGGAACTTGACATTAGAAATTTGTTCACTTTTGGATCAAAAGCCTTTGTCCTGATTCCTGAACAGCTACGAAAAAAATGGAAACCCAAAGCTAAGAAAGGGATTGTTTTCTTGTGGCTGGCGCGAGGCTGCCAAATTCGCTCCTCATTGGTCAGTGTGTTTTAATTAATAACACGTAAACAAAGCCACGGATTGCATTTGCGCTAAGGAAAAAGTTATTTCAAATGACCTCAGGTACCCCCATTTCCTAGAAGTAACATAATTTTCGGACACCCTGTAGAATGTTTTTCAACAAAGAGAAAGAAAAGTTGAAATTTCCAGAAATGTGATTTTGAAAATGGCATAAGCCATGAAACCAAAAAGATTCAGATGTTTCATATTACAACCATTTATATTTCAATACTATAAAAGAATTTGTGTCAAATAGCCGTCAAGTAAGCAATGGCTTGAATGTGTCACTTCCATTTTTATCTACGGCAAGTAAAAAGCACCTATCTCAAGTTTTCCGGCATTTGAAAGCCGGAATACTATACATATAGGACTTATCATTCTCGAAATCGAAAATATTAAAATATTTGGATATTCGTAAAATGTATCCAATCTTTTCGTAGAAAAGTGTATAGAAAGTAATGGAATCCTGTATTAATGAGTGGGCATACTGGAAAATATTCAACATAGAATTCAATTTCCATCTTCATGAAGAAAATATGGAAAAGAAATACAGAATAAGTTCTTTTCGTTTAAGGCTTAGTTTTCGAGAAATTCGAGTTTGAAAATTTACTTTGCACATACGCTGTTGCAGTTATTGGCAATATACGTCGCTTCAAATGATAAATTTTTTTAAAAATCGAATCGAAAACCATTTATCACATTTCAACTACTTATGAATTGTAGAAATGAAGTTCTTTCATTGTTGTTTTTGTCATTTATTTATTACCAATTAAAAGTTGAAGAAATTCAGATGTTTAATAGATTTCGTAGGTAATTAAAATTATAAAGATTTGTTGCACAAATTGCATTGTCATACTATCATATTTCTTGGTTTGATTTTATATTTACACGACGGCTTTGCAATCAAAATTCACTTTTCTCTACTCACAGTATTGTTAAACATTACTGTTTGCTGTGTACAGGGTGTCCCATAATTATGTTATTTCCGAGAAATGAGGAGTTTCTGAGACTATTTAAAGCAGCCGATTCTGCTCTCAGTTTCATAGAGTAACCCGAGTAACCCGCTCTTATGGCGGATTAATGCCAGGGATCCTAACCGCCGCCAAACCCAATTCTTAACCCGGTTACTACAGGAAGGTTACAAAAGCCGGCTCTGTGTAACCCGTAAGAGCGGCTTACAAACTATTATATAGTCTATTATTTTGTACAAATTCAAATAGCGATACACCTTCTTTCGTTAATCTCATAAACGCATCGACGAACAGAATGTTTCATTATAGATAATATTATATTACGAAACAAAAACAGATATGTAAAATGAAATTATTAAACGTATCAGTGAAGAACATAATCTGACTACTGAAGAACATAAAGCGTACTTCTTCTGCAACTGAACAAGACAAGACCGCCGACAGTAACAAAAGGAAAGAAAATCTCCCGTTAAAACAGTTGCAATCTAGAATATAACACGTTTCGGCACGCTCATGAGCGGCACATTTGTAGAATATTCCAATACAATACGATGACAACATTTATGTAATTAACACGTTCGTCGCCGCGTCACCCAGATCTGGGTGACGGGTATGCTTCCGTGGGGGCCCCGTCACCCAAATATGGGTGACGCACGGGCCTACTCGGGTTTCATCGTTGCGCTATTCCCGCTTACGTTTCGGCGCTCCAACAGTCGGATTTGGGCCCCGCGAGAAACTCAGCCGAATTGCGCCGGGCGATGAACGTGTTAAAGTAAAAAAATTAGTAGATTCAACAATTCTTTTCGTATAGTTTAGTTCCATATTGCAACCGATTTCAAGAACTGCCGCTCTTACGGGTTACGCAGAGCGGAGACCGGTTATATGCTACTATATTTACTTATCTAATAACCGGTTCTTGTAACCTTCTTGTAGTAACCAGGTTACAGAATGCATTATGTTACCCGCTCTTTACGAGTTAACCCGCTCTTTAGACAATTTGGGAGACGTTCTACCGCGGTTTACTGTGGGGGTTACTATAATCTGCCTTGGTTAACCGGGTTACGGTTAGGGTTAAGCGCCGGTTAGGACCCCTGATTTAAAGTAACTTTTTCCTTAGCGCAAATGCAATCCGCTGCTTTGTTTACGATTTATTAACGGAAAACACTGATCAATGAGAGGCGAACTCGGCTGATGGGCGAAACTGTGTTTCGACTCTGAATTGCGTTAATCTGAATTAGTTAAGAATTATAATGTCCACCCGGTAGATGCGCTACGCCGCTGTTCGCGGCTCCCTGCGCATGAATCGCTACACCACTCTTTGCGTAGCCTTTTTTTGTGAATGCGCTGAGGACACCCTACATTGCAGGCAAATAGTCGCACTGCTAGTAAGAGCGTACAGCAAATTCTCCCACATTGTCCATGTTAAAGGTATGCTCACATTGTCTCTGTACTATTCCTACACCTATATGCCTTATTCCTACGCTTATGCTAAGGTTCGTCAGAGTCAATGAAGCGTACAATGCGGCACGCGACGCGGCTCCTTTGACTAGAATTCCCAGAATAACAACTCATAATATTATACAATAACATAAGTTTCATAATTTTAATATTTTAAAACTGAATTTTTTTTAATATATTGTTGATATAGTTGTCTGATTAAAATGAGACCAAATATAATATAATTTGGACAGATATTTCTGATTAAAATAAAATCAAACACGATATAATTTCAATTACGTATATTACAAATTAAAATAACACAAAATGAACTTAGAAATACAATATGAAGCTCGCACTAGACAACGTGTGTCTTAACCGACGATTTAGATAAGAAAGACGAATCGACTCTTGTTCTCGGAGGATCACTCCTCTTCAACCATTCCCACCATTGCATAGATATGGTCTAAAGCATGTCGAGTTTGGTCTCATTTTAATTGGAATAATCTCACTAATATGTTAAAAAAATTTTCATGTATAAAAGATAAGAAATAAAAAAGTTAAGGCATTATTCTTATTCTAGCATTAATGTATACCAATATGCTGGCCTCTGGCTTTTATAAGTTTGCCGACTACCCCGATTTTTGTTCTCTCTCTCTCTCTCTCTCTCTCTCTCTCTCTCTCTCTCTCTCTCTCTCTCTCTCACTCACACACACACACACGAGATGTCGGCAACTATAAAGGCGATCCGTGAAGTTGCCCATTTTCGATTCCAAGATGAAGGACAATATGGGAGAATTTACTATTTAGGAGCAAAGCAAATTTTCAAATTCGTTGTTTTCGAAAACTAAACTCCGAACAAAAAAATACTATTCTGCATTTTTTCATAAGAAATCACTTGCTCGAACATAAATTAAAAAGAAAAATTTAAAAGAAAATCCTATTAATTCATTAGCACTTATAGTATAAATCATAATTAACGAATAATACAACTAATATAGAACGAACTAATTGGTAGTGTTTTTTGTGAAACATTACTATATTTAGTGCCGGTATAATATTTACAATATCGTGTTTTTAAATATTATGAAAACCAACTGTCCAGACAATTTTAAGTACTACATGCCAATCAATGGAACTCAAACATATATCTGTTGGGCGGATTTCTTAAACAATAACTTTAGTTTTGGTCAAATCTTTGGAATTTTGACTTAAAAACACTGCTACAGTAACTTTATTATTGTATACAATGATTAACTACTTCTCAAGAAACAAAAGTGACGTGTTTATCAAATGTATTAATACTCTTAGAGGACCAACAAGTTCTTACTTTAATTTTACTTTTTGTTTGGTACTTAACTTAAGTTATAAGATATTAATAAACAAGCTATTACAGTTGGTGTCTTGAATTTATTTTACTATTTCAAAAAAGAAATAAAGATGTTTCTATTCTAATGTGTTTGAATAAAGAGTGAATATTTTGTCAGCAACAGACATTTATAAAGAAATATAACAGTTGCTATAATCAATAATAATCTCATGTCAAATATTGCTGCCAGTATCCAGTACATATTTGACTTGCGGATGAGAAAACGTCAATCTATGTTAGCAACAAAGCTGATTCTGTTTCTCTTAAAACATACAATACCCTAATCAATTCAATAATTAAATGCTAAACTATAATGCATTACCATTTTCATACGGAGCTATCTATGAAATATAGTTCAATAACTCTAAGAATGTATAATATATGCCAGTAATAAGGATATTGTAGAAAAAAGAAACTGAATGTGATTATAGTCAATATTGGTATAATGAACATCAGAAACATACGTAAACGACAAACCGGTCTGACGTAACACTTGAATTTTACTTTGTATCATTTACCTTTACCTTGGAATTCATACATTCGTAAAATGCTTGCAAAAGATCTTTCTCGCTCAGTTTTGAGGCAACAGCTCTGAAAATTTTCAGCAAACCTTCATCGGATTTACTACATTCGGCTATGCACTCAGCTGCAGATTGGTCGGACCACAATTTATAAAAAACGTTCTTAGTGACATCGGAGGATTGAGACTCCAATGCCTTTGCTATATCACTGGAGCTGTTGTTCTGTAAAGCTATATCCAAAACCAGACGTGATGGAATGAGTTCATCGTTTGCCACTGTGTGACTAATAATTACATCTATCGGCATTCTCTTCAACATAGCATCCAAACTGGACAATTCTGTCATAGGTTTCCTTATTCCTTCCTGCTCTTCTTCTTTCAGTTTCTTCGACAACATCTCTGCGAGCTCAGAAGACGCACACTTTTGGCAAACGGCTTCTTTCACTTCATCGAAATCGAGAATATTCATGCAATCGCTGGTTTTTATCTTTTGTCGATAGGCATTCAATAGTTTAACAAAAAATTGTTTCTCAGCAGCAAAGATGTCAGGAAGCCGTAGTAAAACTTTATTAAGCCCACAGGCGCGGCAAGCGTATTTTAAGGTTGTTTCATTGCTGTTTGGTCTGTTCTCTGTAGCAAGCATTCTTATGGTTTCTGTTTCCAAATCCATCTGTGGTACATGCCTCATCTTATTCTAGAAAAATAAAAGAAATTATTTATGAAATTAGAACTTACAATAAACTGAATGTACTTAATTCTACACATGGATGCAGGATTATGAATGTCGGGGAATAATTCAACACTAGAGTACACACTTAGTCTCTGAGACCGATAAAAACGTTATTTTTGGATTTTGTTTAGTATTACTAAATTATGATTCTACAATGTACATGCCATACGAGTACACTTCCAATATCCTCTACCATTGATTGCTTTAACACTAAACCTATTAAGCACCAAAGCAGCTGATATGTCCTGCCTTGTAAAAATTATGAGACTGAATTTATCAGTACAGTACCGATCAAACTTGATATTAATTTCTATCAGTAGACAAGAGCATTTATCAGACAAAAACAAATAATTATTGTATAAATGTCTAGCATAGTTCGAAACCATAGCGGTCCTCCACATTTTATGGGACGATACACGTCCACGTCCGTCAATTAAAAGTTATTTTTCAAGGTTCATATATTACTTCTTATGTAAATAAATGATTTTATTCTTTTCTTATAACTATATCTCTGGTCTAGCAAAAATAATTTAAAACCATGTTTTGATGATTTTTTGTGTGCATTAAATGCAATATAATCTAATATATTCCCATGTGTCTATCCTGCAGTGCCGGCTAAATTAGGATCGACCAATATTTTCCTTATTTGTAAGTACAATCTACTGCTATTTCAAAGGGTATTAGTATTAGTTACTAATCTATTGGTATTATTTACAGGATAGTTCTCCATTTTTCTTTTAATAAATACGAAGCAGAACTTAAATAAAGATAATATAACCGAGTGTGTTATTTATAAGGAAACGTTTGAGGAAGATTAAGTGCAGTGTATCAAATATACAGATTCGACACATGTGAAGTGCGCAGATCAAGGTAATCTATCTTATTTATTTGTGACACATGTAAAAATAAAGCTTGAATGTTATTCTAACAATTGAATGTCTATTCATTAATATCGTAATCAATTAAATTTAAAAATGTGGTCTGGTCGGTACTGGACAACAATTTTGTACTTCGTTCAGATGACAACTTTTGCATTTCTCCCACAATTGAAAAAAGAATTTTACAATCCTTATCATGAAATTTTACAAAAACATTTTCCCTGTCTTCATTAAGTACTTCACTTTTTTAAATTTAAATTATGTTCTTTCTGACCCAAGATATAAAAATAAAAATGTATTAAAATGGTGTTCTGTTGCACACAAATTCAAATAATTTAACTTTTTATTCATTCGATCACCCATAAACCTTTCCACAGCAAATGATAATATTTGATTCACACGCGGTTTTAAACTTTTATAAGTTATCAATTATCTATATTGAAGTCGCTAATGAGATACTGTACTTGAACATTTTCAACACCTATGAAATTGTGGAAGAAAGTTCGTTTTTAAATTTACGTGATCTCCAAATCTAATTAATTTTATGATATTCACGACAGACTTTTGCACCAACGAAAGAAATCAGAGAGGATGTAATATCAAATGAACTCTATGAAAATCTGAGAAATATTAAAATACACAAATAGCTATTACAAATAGAATTATAAGAAAATATGAAGAATGATAGTGTTATAATCAAAGTCCGAATTAAATAACAAGTAACGTTTAAAAAACTTTAGGGGTACTGGGAGCTAGCAGGAGTATAAAAACAGGTGTTTTTAAAGTTAAAATAATATATATAATAACAATATATAATAAGAATAAAGTTTATGTTGAAAAATGGTGTCAACATGAACTTCGAACGCTGTCCTTGTACGGAATGCTACCACGTACCAAGCCATCTTATCGCTCAAGGGTCAAAATGACCTCGCATTTGACGTAAGAGTGTTAATGAGTTGAACATTGGCTATACAATACAGTATAGTGTTCGCAATATAGTGTCAGGGTAAGATTAAGAATGTTTTTAAGGAATTTTTTGGGAATAATTAAGTTTATATTTATGGAATAACACATATTCGATTTTTGTATTCAAGAATAAGTAAAATAAAAGAATAAAAAATTTAATATGTCTTATTCGGTGAATATAAAATTAATTATATTTGAAAACAAGCCAAAGGCATAGCAATTGGTCATCTCATAGTAACCGGCTCCGCTACCCTAAAGTAATTACATTAATTACGCTATTAATTACACTAATTTACAATCATTTCCAAACAAACTTCTACTTTCCATAAAAATGAAGTGAAAAGAACATATTTACCTTATAATGCATAAGAATTCTCTCTGGAGTACATCTTCTAACTGCGCTTTCCAATACCACATTAACATCTATTTCATCCAGAAGATCTGCCAAAGACGTTTGCACTTCGACAGATTTATTGATTTTACTTGGCGCAGGTTTTAATGAATAGACTGAGTCTTTACTGGGGCAAAAAGCACCAGACTTTGCTGTATGTAAAGCAGCCATTGCTTTAGACAACGAAAAATTATCAGAATCTGGTTGTGATGGGAAGACAACATCTAATATAGATGACACTGGTATGCTTGTCATTTGTCTAAACAAAAGTATAATTTTATTATCTATTAATCTCTAATTTGTTGCATTAATTTGCATATAATCCACTTAACACGACAACAGACAAATTTTAGACATTGTTGCATAGAAAAATAAAGAAACGTGGCTACTTTTTGTATGTTCGATGCGACAATGTCATTGTACATGCGTTAACACAAGAAAACTTGTTCTCCAGGTGCATTGATCGTCTAAAGTAAAATACGGACCATAAATGGTATGCACAGTAGAAAAATCATTTCATCGTTACAGAAATTCTATACACCTACGAGCGGACATACTTCTTCCCTTAATATCAGAATACCTTTCTAACAAAAAAAAACAACAGGCAATCAGAAAATAAGGACATAGAAGGAAAAGAATTCAAAAACATGGCGTATATTATATATATGTAACAAAGAAATAAAGAACCGCGCCATTGATAAAATCTGAAAATTATAAACATATCATATGTAATCGATATTAAAAACAAAATATTTTTTAAAATTAAAAACAAAATAAAAAAACAACTCACTTCCGACGCTATTATAGTAATCAGAAATGACAAAACAGAACATATTACTTGTCGTAGAAGACAGCACGTTCCATTCATGTCATAAAAACGTATGTGCTCGCTCGAAAGTTAGCGCGAAACAAGATGATTTAAATCGCAATTAGTATTAAGTGGATTAGCCGAAACTACTAAATATGCGGAATAAACCAGGGACCATAACTGTTATAGTCAAATAAGAAAGAAATCGTTGCATGACAATTATTATGTGACCGAAATTGTGTTGGTGTTGTCCGTAATCATTATTAAATAGAGGAAAGAAATTTCTATTTGGTACTAGTTTCTCGCAATAGATGTAAGCAATTTTTAGTTTAAATAAAAATCCGCAGTATAGCCATAAGAGTTATCGTTGAGAGAAACTTTATCCCGGTTCTTTATAACAGTTATCTATGAAATCACAGTTTCTTATAGCACAACAAAATAAGCAGAAAAATGTTTAAGTATGTTAACAATATGAACAATGTCTTTCTTGACATTAATCCATATTCGAATATCTGCAGTCTACTGATAAGTATTAAAAATTTCCTTCACTGACAAATGTTATCAATGCATAATGTCATCAATAAGGATTATCGGCAACGATAAAAGATGTTCGGTTAATTGTAATAGTTATTTTTAACGAAAAATGGTATCTTTTAGTCACGTGGGTATTTTAACGATTTATTTTACGTTTCGCGCGTAACAGATTTGTTCTAAAAAAATTTTCAAATAACTATTATGTTTGGTCCCTGGAATATATAGTAAGATAATATTTCAAACGTACATAGGCGTTGACATATTTGAAACCAAAACAGTATCTTCGGCTTGCAGTGGCGATTCTATTGTATTTTCAGGCGAATCAAGTATTTCTGTCTTGATTTCTAGTTCCTCAATTTCTTGCGCTGCAATTTCATTTGAAATGGGTTTAGAAGGTGCTTTTGTTTCAGACACAGGTACGCTGGTATTTTCATTGAGAAGTGCTTCACTACGCAAAGCGTCATTCGATCGTTCCGTAGCATCGTTTGATTTATTCACAGCAAGTGTCGCCTCGTACTGTTTTAGGACACTCTTTACTAACTCGACCTTTATTTTACCTTTCACAGGCATCCTATTTACTTCACGTTCGGATAGTTGCGCAAGATCGCCGATCGTTTCAAGGTTTCTTTCTTCAAGATACGAAACTAAATGCCGTATCCAGAGAGGATTCGTTAATTTCTCGACGATAGACTTTATGGGCTCTGTACAGGAAATCAGCAACGGATATATGGGCTGCGTGGAATTCAAGAGATCCGGGTCAGGAATGTCTACGTCGAATTGACTTGCATTTTGACTGTCGTTAGTCGATTTTAAACTGCCAAACACAGAGTCCGTGACTGGCAAAGTATCTTGTTCTTCCACGTTGTCTGCTGCTTTCGTACTAGTTCGCACCAATTTTCCGCAGAAAATTTCATCAGAGTTTGCTGTGGAATTCAAGCTAGAAATGTTCTGTACCTCCACCGTATCCTCCAAATTTTCTGAATTCGCATGGATTTTACATGAACTTTGTATAACTGAATCGTTCGCGATATTGTACTTAAGGGATTCCTCTGGTTTATTTTGCGCAGAGACATTGCGCTGATCGTCTGCGTTATCATTGGTATTACTTTCTGTTTTGCTTGCATTGTCATGTCTCTCTTCGACGCTATTAAATAGATTGTCGTTCGTATCGGTTACAGGAGCTTTAGTATTCTCTGTTTTGACATCAGATCCTTCCGTAGTGTCCGTGGTATTATTCCGTTTACTTTCCATGTGTGTGGAAAATGTTGTATTTTGTGTGATTTCGAATTCCCCACTTAAGTTATCAATTTTACGAGCTATGGGCTGCTCACTCGTTAATTCGTTTTCGACAGGATTGCAAGACACCTGTCCGTTGTCAGCATCTATTGCGAAATTCTCCGAATACTCCAAGTCTTCGGCTATTTTCGTCAGCAACTCATTTTCCCGTTCGCACTGTAAATCAAGTTCGGATACGTTCGTCACGTCCGTTTCTTCCTCGCACTCCATCTTCTCGGCCTCAACGTGTAGCAACCTCGGTTTAATAGGCTTCATCCTCATAGGCGAATCCTTACGGCTCAAACCGCGCGAAAGGAATTTATTAAATTTGTGCGCAGAATCGCTGACAACAATTTCGTATCCCATTTCTTTTGATACTGGAGGATCCGCAAAACTTACTCGTTTTCTCTATAATTAAATGGAATGCATTACAATTAAAAGACTACAACAATGATTGTTCAAAATCTGCAGGATGTGGAAGACATTGTAATTTCACTGATGACGGTATTTTTTAAGGAAACAGCATGTTTCATATATTTAACCCTTATATATGCAACCAAAGTTTTTACGCTTTGCGTGGCAACTGGGATATTCGGATACTCAATTTGTTTTATTTGTAAGTTTTAATTAGACGGACAGTATTTATTTTATAATTTTTTCGAAATTCATTGGTTTCCTCTACGATAGTTTAAAAAATGCTGTTTTAAACAATTCAGGTGAAAAGTATGGCTAAAATACAATTTATTCATTTGATTCTACGAAATCAATCGTCTACCTCTACATACTGGGTGTTCCAAAATTATTTTAACAGCCGAAAATGAGGGGTAGCTGAGGTCATTTGAAGTAACTTTTTCCTTTGCGAAAATGCGATCTGCGGCTTTGTTTACGAGTTATTAACGGAACACACTGATATGTCAAGGTTATGTCAAGGTTATTGATAATATTCTTCATATTTCTCTAACAA